GGGGATATTTTCCAGTTCCAGGGACTCTAAACTTACTCGTGATGACCTTGGTTTGCAGTGACATGGACAGGGGATAAATAATTAAACGCTCGGTTTCGAGCTTGCTAGCCGAAATATAGCCCCACTTAAGTTTAAGACTGAAAAAGTAGCCGAGACCGCCTTACGCGCACCGTGATTTTGACCAACTTTGGCTTGATTTCGTGGAACTTGGGGGATATTTTCCAGTTGCAGGGACTCTAAACTAAGTTTTGATGGCCTTGGTTTGCAGTGACGTCTACAGGGGTTAAATAATTGAACGTTCGATTTCGAGCTTGCTGGCCGAAATATAGCCTCACTTAATTTTAAGACTGAAAAAGTAGCCGAGACCAGTTCACAAGCAAGTTCACATCCACTGAGTGTGCACCCACATCGACTCAAATAGCGATCAAGTGCTTAAAATTTATCTTTCCCTTACCGAGCAAAAAAGACAACATTGTGGGCATATTAAAACAAAATCACGTAAAAAACTTTTATTTTTCGTTCTTTAATCCATTGAAGGTGAACACGTAGTCGAAATAGAAAGTTTATAATGAGTCAGGGGTGCTAACCCGGTGGGTGCAAACCCGATTGTACGAAAAATTAGGTAGCAATCGATGGTCAGATATGAACAGGCTAAAGTTGTCTGTTATTTGTAATTCACTGCCATTTTGTCTGCAGCCAATTCAGCCGTTGAAAGTACACTGCCGATTCGTTTCCCTTTTTGATTTTATATAACTGCTGCAATCACTTGTAGCTTATTACATCATCTGTGCACATGCGCACTGAACTTAACACAAATGCGCAACGATTGCAATTACATGCGTCCCATGAAGCACACATAAGTATGGATTTTCACACGGTATTAACTGACGGCCGACGTTTTAACCGACAGTAGTCTATTACAACGTATTTTTAAAGACTAGTAAGGAAATACGTAAAAAGTTATTAGACCGAGAAGTTGCGTTTAGTTTCAAGATGGTGGTCATATTAGACTAACATGGCCAATGTTAGACATCATACTCTCGACCTGTGAAAGAGATGGGATTCCGATATCGAGAGATGAAGCCTCTAGTCAACAGTAGACTGTCCGATATTATGGCGAAAACTAGGAAGGTATTACATAAAAATTATTAAGCCTCAAAGGTTGCACTTTTTTTTGAAGAATGCTGGCATACTAGCCCGAAATATTTCCGATGTTTGACATCACCGTCTTTTCCACCCGTCAAAGAGATGCGATTGTGATATCAATAGATGAAGGTGCATGTCGTTTCAAGATGGCGGCCATATTAGACTAACATGGCCGATGTACATGTTTGACATGATACTCTCGACCCGTGAAAGAGATGCTATTCTGATATCGAGAGATGAAGCCTCCAGGCTTCAGTAGACTGACTTGATATTGACGCGAAAACTAGCAAGGTATTACATAAAAATTATTAAACCTCAAAGGTTGCACTTTGTTTGAAGAATGCGGCCATACTAGCCTGAAACATTTCCATATTTGACATCATCGTTTTTTCCACCCGTCAAAGAGATGCGTAAAGTCCTACATTAAAAGTTTTAAGAGTCCAATGGCCGGATGAACTTCGTTTAATACATGGTCGAAGTTTGACATCGTAGTTCTTTCGACCCGTTTAAAAAGACGAGATTCCGAATGAGGAAATATTAAGTTTTTTTTTTTCTGGACAGTGTTCTCTCTTGATACCATTCATACATAAGATACATCGATAGATTCGAGTGGTCTGTCTTGATATTCAACCAAAAACTACCAGGGTACAACGTGAGAGTGGGACGCCCGATGGCCTCATGGTTAGTGCGCTCGTCTCCGGATCGTGCGCGATCCGGGTTCGAGCCCTGCCCGTGGATATTGCGTTGTGTTCTTGGGCAAGACACTTTACTCTCACTGTGCCTCTCTCCATTCAGGTGTATAAATGGGTACCGGCGAACTTGATGCTGGGGGTAATCCTGCGATGGACCTAGCAGTGTACCTAGCGGTGTACTTCTAGCAGATACTGCGCGTTTTAATAACATGCGGACTCTAAAATTCAAAGCTCAACCAACAAATGCGTTTTCCGCTACCGTCAATCAAATGTTCGGCGGCTCCTCCCAGCTTCCGACTTTCGCCGAGCACATTTTCGTTGTCTGAACTGTGCTCAACGATTTGATTTGACGTAGCGAAAAACGCATATTTCGGTTGAACTTTGAATTTTAGAGTCTGCATGTTATTGAAAGGCGCAGTAAATTAACATTAGGCGAATTCGTTGACAACTAAGCCCGGGTCATTGTTTCGGGACACCAATATGGCTGCTCTGACGTCATGTGACTTTACATGTAGGGCTGCTTAGAAAGAATAGCACTGAAAAAGTATACATGATCATAGGTTAATGCAGGATTAGTAGTTTATGAAACAGTACGTAATTTCGCTGTTTTATAACTAACGATGTAAATTCAGCTTGCGGGGGATCGCTCCTTCCCCGACACAAAGAACGGATCAGACTCGAGAGAGCGGCGGAAATCTATTTTAAGTATCTCTGAGCTCAGAGGTTGGGATATTCTACAAAGAGTATTTGAATAAGTCACAAAGCATACACCATCCACAAACACATAGAAGGGAGCCCTAAGCAAATTACAAATACTTACACGTCGACATGAAATCAAGACTCGTTTTGGAACCCAAAATTGTTTTGTATTTCGTTTCAATAGAGAGGGCCTCCCGGGAGGGGTAGGGAGGGGTATATAACGTAGTAGGTTCCCCTGATGCCTTGAATATTTCACTTTTTCTGCCTTGTTCCCAACTATAGCTAAGAAATTCCATTGTTTCCTAACTTTTTTATCAAAAATCCGTTTAATAGTAGAGCTATCCCTTGTTCCCTCAAATTAATCTCGAAATATCCTTCGTTTCTTTGAAATAAATGATCGTGTTCTCATGTTTCCCCAAACCCCTGGGAGACCCCCAGAAGAAGGATTAGCGCCTCCCCCCACCACCCCCTCCCCCATCCAGAAAAGAAAAGCCCCCTCACTGTAACCGATACCGCCATCTGTAAGTGCTTTGTTTTGACGCGGTCTAGAAAATAACAAATAACTAGAAAAATAATGCCAACTCCATATTTGGACAAGGGAAAATCTACTCACTTAATCCTTGGCAAGCCTGTCACAAACATAATACCGAAATCAGGGGGGGGGGTTCTCCCAGAAAAATTTGGTGGGGGTGTGCGGTCCGCTTCCCAAACCCTTCCCCTATTTAAGACCAAAATCTGCGATTTTCCTTACCCTAATTATGACCTGACCAAATCGAGACTAGAGTGTAAAAACCATACTCTATTTGAGACCAAAATGGCCGAACTCCATAACCGATTTCTGACCAAAACGGCTAAAAAAACCATACCCTTTGGGGCCGCACATACCTCTGATAAAGTCCATATGAGAGAATTAATAACCTCCCCCCAGTACCCAACATTGTTTGAATCACAGCCATTCCTCTCCAGCTATTTGTTCTCAAATACAATAATGGCAGAAAGCCAGACTTGGTAAAAACGTGAAAGTTTTTTGGTAGAGATAAACTGAACCGTGAGAAAAACAGCTCAATTATACACACTCAATTAGTTCCACACTTCGAAAGGAGGTCTTTAATTATATGCATCAACTATCTTTTATCAAATCATTTTAAATAGTTCATACAACTATACCTATTGAACCCATATGGACACTGAGTACTGTCCGTGCTTCTTAGTTTTTTAGTCTTAGTCTTACCGTAACAAAATATCTTTCTACACATTTTCTTTTCTTCTCGAGCTCTTCAACGAGCCTGCAGAATATTTTACGAAAACGAATTGCTAAATTCTGTGCAAAATAGCGCACATATATATCAAGCCTGTCATTGCCTAACAGTGGCGAGAAATCAAAACCAAACATATTTTTCTTTTGTGTTATCTGAAACCAAAACAAAATTTCTTTGCTGTACGTAGTACGTCAAAAGAGATGTACTTTGTTTTTCGCTTACAAAAAGGAACAATTGAGTAAATAGATATAAATATCGTATAAATACTAAATGCAATGTGCGCGCAAATCTGGATACATTTGTTACGGTATAAGTTGACAGAATTTGTTCTCTTAGAGGTCTTAGAGAATAAACACGAACCTTAGCTTACTTGTTTTTATCTGCTTATGCAATTCACCCGAATAACTGGATAAACTGAAAGCTAAGTCTTTTCAGTAAAAACAACTGAAAATCAAAGAAGTCGGACTTTAAAAAAATGGATTTTTTAAATGTTATCGTGAATTGAGAGCCAATCAGGTTACCAAGCACTGAAAAACGACGCCATGCAGTTTTAAGTTCAAAGCTCAAAGTTTAAAGTTAGTGATTCAGCTGTAATGAAAACTGCGCGAAAAATGCGATGCACATGCCATAAACAATGTATTTTGCTTAATATGTCCCCTGTCCTTAATTTTACGCAAAACTATAATTAACTGCTCGCCTTCAATCCATCTCTAAATTTTCTTTGTTCGTTGGCAGTTAAATAACGGTACATGTGCAATTAAATCGCCATTAATGTATTCCTCCATTCCTGACTCAAGCAACTAGTAGACTTGCGTCTTTTGTTTACGCTAAAATCATCAAGAAATAACATGCTTGGCGAATCCCCCCTTGTGCTTCCACCAGACGAGATCTTACGGCGGCATTTTTGGATGATTTCCTTGGCAGAGGCAAGCCTTACACTGCTGCCAGAATTAACAAGCTCAGAGTCCATGTTTTCCTGGTTCCCCCTCCACGTAGTTGGGTCGACCACCAACGCGATCGCTTTTGCTTGGAGAATCTGTGACAACCATTCGTTTCTTTCATGCTCCGAGAAGCAACACAAGAAAAATATCCGAGCTGTGATTTTGGANCAAGAAAAATGTCCGCGTTGTGATCTTGGACGATAATGATCGTTTCACAAGCTTCAAGCAGTACTTAGTTTGCTTGTCTGGTAACTCATCTATGTACAACGACATGTCATTGAAGTATATGACTTCCTTAGGCGCGCTTTCCAAGGATTCCTTCTCTGTTCGATAGTAACACAAACATTCTTTGCTGAGGACAAAATAGCGCAGATGCCACTGTTTCAGAACTTCGCTTTGCTTTAGTAGGTAGCCATGCTTTAAGGTTCTTCCCTTCTGGTTCTCCTTTGCACTCGACATCTTAACCTGGGTCGTTGTCTTAAACGTAATCTCCACAAGGTTGAAAATTCACAAAATATCTTTTATAAGTGTTTTCCGTTTTGCTCAGCTGCGCTAACTGAGAGGCTACCAGCCTTGAAGACAGGTTATTGTCGAGACAGGGGTTTAAAAACTTAACAGTCTGCGCAAAACCTCCAGCCACTACCTTTTCCCTAGAGCAGGTCAGCAGAAGCACAAAAACATTTGTGCACACCTTCGTAACACCCACGTAAACGAAGCCATGCTTATGAAAATGTCTTACATAAATATGAACACAAAGGTCAAGAAATGACGGCACTTAAGACGTAATGGATCGCATGTCATATGACAGCCTTTGCGATTGGGTTCGTGTTTTTGGCTTATCAGTTGAGTGTTCTCATTTGTGACAAACAATACCACACTTGTTTGGTGTTATTTTTCCTCAAAATAGCATGTATTTTGCTCACATGACAGCTGCGCTTATCAGGAGCTCCTTCGAAAACATTTTGCTATTGCGGTTAATAGCAGACAAACAGAATGAGGCAATTGTTAGGGAATAAAGTTAAGTCTAAAAGCCATGCTTTATTAACCATTTAGCATGCTAGAAGCTATCCGTTGCTCTCTGTTATCAGTAGGAGTGAAACAGAAAGTATGATGTCTCGTGAATTGGGGATTTACCCAGGGGGTTTGTTTTCACTGCAGATTGTTTCTTTGGGAGGGGGCAGAGGTGATTAAAAGATAGCTAATAAAAATAAAGACCATGCTGATGTTGTTCTGGCCTCCTTGATCGCATACTTAACTCGAGAATTCTGAGCTTAATTACATGAAGATCAGAAACAATTTTGTGAAGAATGGCACACTTACAATTATTATCCTACCTGGTGACACTGACGAACGAATTGCATGCTGGACCTCATCCCAGCTAAACGTTTGGCGCCAAACTTCAATCTTGTATTGAGTTAAAAAATTCATGTTTCACTCCTTTGTTACTAGATCTGTTAAGATCTGTTATGGTTTCTGGCATTTCAAATCCCTTTTCGGGAATTTTTTATATGGTCTCCAGAGAGAACAGCTGCAGTGACCTAAATCTTTTCAATGAATATCTATACATGTGACATCAGGACAGGACAGTTTCTCCCGCATACTGAATGTTGATTGGTCAATTCAAATTTCAGATTCACCCGCCAAATGCAAAGGCTGCGACAGGGGAAATTCTGAGTCGGTACAAAAGGATTCGTTTTATTCGGATTGTACAAAATCAAAAGAATGCTTATTATCAAAAGAGAAATTTGTCCAAATGTAAATAATTTTTTGCTGCATGCTTACTGGCTTTACCAGAAGTAACGATTGAACATATGTATACATGAAAACAGTGGTAAACATCCTTAAATTGCAAATGCTGAATACAGAGCGTAGAACTGTACATACAAATTCTCCTTAACGGTTTTCGATACATTTCTTACAATAGTTAAGAGAATTTCATACATGATATTTGATGACCATAACTTATCAATCGATTCAGTTGCTGTATCGGCAGTATCGCTTTGCATGTTTATATAAGATTAGATTTCCTCAGTGTCTTGGTAAAAGCCCAGAAAATTGAAAGCGCCTGGAAACTTTTAATTAAGACGATTGGCCACTGAAACAGGGTATTTCTGTGACCGTATAAACCGATATGATTCAGTCATTCATAGCCTGAAGTCTTGGCTAATCAACTTATACAACCAAAGAAAACTGCGCAAAAAAGTCGCTGTTTATACAATAAATAATGTATTGTGCCTATGTTCCCTGTTTTTGATTCTTCTCAAATCCCCTTCGCTCCATCTCAAAATTGTCGTTGCTCGTACTCGGTACGTTTAAATCGCCATCAGTGTATTCCGCCATTCTTGACTCAAGCAAGATGTAGACTTGCGTCTTTTGTTTACGTTAAAATCGTCAAGGAATAGCGAGTTTGTAGAATCCCTCGTACTTCCATGGCCACCAGACGAGATCTTACGGCGGCATTTTTGAAAGATTTCCTTGGCGGAAGTAAGCCTGACACTGCTACCAGAATTAACAAGCTTAAAGTCCACATCTTTTGCCGAAGCTTCCTGGTTCCTCATCCACGTACCTGGGTTGACCACCAACGCGATCGCTTTCGCTTGGAGAATCTGTGACAACCATTCGTTTCTTTCATGCTCTGAGAAACAACACAAGAAAAATGTCCGCGTTGTGATCTTGGACGATAATGATCGTTTCACAAGCTTCAAGCAGTACTTAGTTTGCTTGTCTGGTAACTCATCTATGTACAACGACATGTCATTGAAGTATATGACTTCCTTAGGCGCGCTTTCCAAGGATTCCTTCTCTGTTCGATAGTAACACAAACATTCTTTGCTGAGGACAAAATAGCGCAGATGCCACTGTTTCAGAACTTCGCTTTGCTTTAGTAGGTAGCCATGCTTTAAGGTTCTTCCCTTCTGATTCTCCTTTGCACTCAACATTTTCTCCGGCGTCGTAGTTGGCTAAGACTGTAAACGCAAAGAACAGGTTCTGTTCTTTGCCTAGCTGGGCTAAATGAGGTGCGCTCTGCAAGCTGTTTATGTGACAGACAGCAACCTGGTGTTAAAACTTAACAGTCCGCTGAAAATCTCTAACCGCTAACTTTTGCGCGAAGCAGGTTAGTGAAGCGCAGCAAAATTTGCACACACCGTCCAAACACCCACGTAGAACTAGTAGCAAAACTTTTCAAAATCCTTTGTATATTTAACGAGGCATAAAAGGTCACGAAATGACAACATTTTAAGACAAGTTAGACTAAAAAAAGGTATCGCATGTCTTGTCGTATGGCAATCATGGAATTAAATCCGGGGATTAATTTTACTTTATGGCTTATCAGTTTAAGTGGTCACATTTGTGACTAACAGTATCAAGCTTTGAGTGTAGTTATTTTTTATTCCAAGCGTATCACACTCACATGACAATGCTGTTGTGCTTCTCAACAGCTTGTTCGAAAACATTTTTGCTTGTGTTGTATAATAAAGTGTCCGTGGGTGCAACCTCATAAATGCTATGTAGTCGCACTAAAGGGCATGGTTTTGAGCTGTTTTGGTAAGAAATAGAGCTTGTGTCCTCTTGTCAGCGATTTTGTATGATTCTTAGAAGAAACTTTTTTAGCATTGTCACGGTTTATCTTATTCACATTTTGAATCAGGAATTTGAAGCTCTTCTAAAAGTTTTGCGGAAATCGAAGCAGTTCAAGGTCTGGCCTAAAATAGGGTATCGATCTCTGCTCAGTTCCGCACAAAATAGGTTAATTAAGGAAAGTGAAAGTCCATCTGAAATGTGTTTAAAAGCAAAACATATACCCCGTCCCCAATTGTCGAAGGGTACCAGCCCCACCCCTCCCTCGACGTATGGTCAGACAAACAACATGAATCTATAGAATAGACACACGGTAACACGTAAGAAACAGTTATACAATTCTTCACCAATTTACCCTGTTTATCTGCCACTGCATGCCGTGTGTTTATCAATTATCCAGTGAAATTAAGAGTACCAGGTGCTCTCTGCTTCGAGGTTTTGCTTTCATTTTGGGGGGGAGGAGGGGTGGGGGTGGGGGGTGACTATTTTTGTTTAGGCGCCGGAGCAGGACAAGGAGCTCCAGTATTAAAATAAACTTGCTTTTGTTTTCTAGTCGATACAAAGTTTGCTTTAGTTTTTATCCTCCTAACAATTATTGAGCGATTTATTTTACGTGCGAAAGTATTCGCATTCGTGTTCATCTGTCATCGGTGCTTTAACACCCGGCATGTCACAGTAGTTAAATGACACGCGACATGAACGTGAACGTGATTCAACGTTAACGTTTGGTAAGTGAAAAAGTTTCAATTCCCTGTATATAGTCTTCAGACAGTACTACAAATTTACAGAACTTCACTACTTGACTGACGTCTGTTTTGAAGTCTAGTTGCTCAGGTTCGACGTGCGTGTGGCAAAAACTTAAGTATCTACTGATCTCTATTTCCTTTGAACATGAAACGCTGCCAGAGGTCGAGCAAACGCGGGCATGTCCACTGTTAGTATTAGATGGCTTCATTCTCTAAATCACGATTTTTCTGGCCTTTAACCATGATATAGCGACAGCAGATGTTATTTTAGATATTCAAGGTTTATTTAAGACTCTCTTCTCATCATCTCAGTGTTGTGTTAAATCAACACCACGGGAGAGAAGACTGTAACCTCTATGAAATACGACAATTGATTACCGGTTTATAAGAGGTGTATAGCAGGTTGTACACACTCTGTAAACTCTCTGTTCGTGGTAAAAGGGATGGCTGTATGGTGGCGAAAATTTAGCAAAAATATTGTTGGGCGAAAACTCAACTCTCGTCTCTCAGTAAGGTTCGTAGATGCTGGTCTGTCCAGTGTATCTTCAGTTGTTTTTCTCACCTTAATATTATTAAGTGACCACTTAAATGTTATTGGCGTGGCCATTTAATATCATTGGCGTGACCACTTCAACATTATTGGCGTGACCACTGTGACTGCTACGTCTTACGCGTTGAACTGAGCTGGCTCTTAGGCACCACCCAGAAGGACACTTTGAACCCCCTCCCCCACATCCCCTCCTTCAAAGGTCTGGTTCTATAAAGCTATGCGGAGGGTGTTGGAAAAATAGTTTGTTGACACTTGCCTTATTTATCGAAGCGGGAAAATATTTCTAGATTGTAGTGGTCATGAAATCAAACAAACCAAATTCAGAGTTTTGGATTGAAAGCAAAATATTGCGATATCAGCAAAGCTGGGAGCCCAAGCATTTGCCAGAAGCCAGCCCTTGTGTGCAGTGGGGTGGATAAAACAGCGAGAAATTTTGACGAGATTGTTACTACATCATAGTTTTATGCTATTACTACCTCTATACCTAATGCTTTCCCAGTCTAGAGACAGTTTCCGGCGCAGTTTCACTAACATTTCACTACAGAAATTGAGCTTCCCTTTAATTTTTCATCTAGGAATATTTATGTTGAATTAAGTTAAACTGAGACGAGCTTGAGAAATATGACCGTAAGAGCAATGAAAATTTTAGGTGAAGCTGCCTCTTTCCCCGGCCCCAGAGTATCTCCTCCACTGCCTAGCACCATTTGTGGACGTAACCGCGTAATGTGCAGGTGCATGCATGGGCGATTGCGACTCAAGGTCATGGATATTGTTTTTTTTTTTTCGGAAGGGGCGTCACGGCTTAGCTTTCTAACCACAAGAAAGATTTTCATTCAAGCTCGATTAAGCTAAGTATGGGGTAGACTGCATTTGTTGAGTTTAATTTGTCCAGGGATGGCTCGGATTAATTTAGCTATCATTCTGAGAAGAACTATTTAAAAACTTTAAAGCAAGAAACCATAATAACCAGAACTTTCTGTTTATTTTTTCAACAAATAGCAATTTTACAAACTGTTGTTGAAGGTTACTATTTTGGGAAAAAATTTTCTTCAAACAAAGGCTGCTTTTGTTTTCAGCGGAAATGGTATGTCTGCATCAGCCAGTGATAAACAGAAGCATAAGGTAGTCATGTGCTGTCATGACACAGTACTATATTTATAGAAGTCGCTTGATCTCATTAAATTCTTTGAAGGTTATCTGTCCATTTCAAGGTCAAATTTCCTTTTGTCCTTCTGATCAACTTGACTGCCCTTCTGTTCAGGCAGAAATGTTTCTGGTTCAATAAAACGGAAGTCAAAGATCAGTAAATGGCAACACAAAGTGTTTTTAATTGACAATTGTGCCATAAGGTTCCCTTTGCTTACCGTTCAGAGGTCACATTAATTGGTGAAGAAAAATGCCTCTCTTTGTTTGCAGCTAATTTTTCTCGAAATAGTATGTACTCCATACGATAGAAGAGCTTATCAACACCTCATTCGCAGACGTATCTGCTTCTATTTTTTATTCGACGTATTGTTCCTTCCTTTTCATTGGCCAAGAGCCAATCACATGATCTTCTTACAAATACTGATCTGCTCATGCGCTATAACGCCTTGCTAAAAATATTCTCTTCATGGGTAGAAATGTCCACTACTGTGGAAAAATGGCAGCCTAGTTTTTTTGAAAAAAGGTGTCGACGAACGATTCGCAATTTCTACAAAACATTTACCTCATTATCGCAATATATTGTAATTCGTCAACGCTGAACAAATCAATTAGTTGCCTAAGCCTTCGGCTTCGGGCAACATGAAATGATCTGCTTACCACTGACAAGTAACGATATTCTACTCCATCTAACTTTAATTGTTATTTGTTTTAGGAGAAATGATACAAAAAACCGCTCGAAAAGCAATACTTTATTTACCAGCCCAATTTGTTCATCAATATCTATATATGGTAGTGATTCTGAAGGTATCATGTGCTTTTTGCTTCACGACTTGGCATGACTTGGGGATTTTTTTCCAGGGATTTTGCTTTCGGTTATTATTTTTGGTTCGATTGTTTGATTTTTTTTTTCGGGGGAGGGGAAAGCAAGGCATACGCTGGGCATTGGAACCTAATCGTTTCGTTTACCAACTGATACAAAATTTCTTTTATTTTTCATGTTTCTTCCGAAATATTTCACACGGGAACAAGAAACCACATAACCGTTCATCTGTTATCGGTAATCCAACACCCAGCGTGCCATTTGGCATGCTGTCTTGGCATGTAAAGGGGCTCCCCCATAGGTCCCATAGGCTACGTAGTTCCTGCTTGAATGGCCCGAAATTGGAGCAAGAAATTGCGCAGAAATTGGAGCAAGCGAGGGAAGGATTCCGACGGTCTTGTTTCCTCCTTATATTCTGATTCATTCGGTTCTTTTCGAGTTTTCTCCTCTCCACAGATGGAGCCTTTGTAAAACCAAGCCTCTTGCTCATGACTGATGTACGTGCGGAAGACAGTTAAGCAATTAAACTTCTATTTCCACCTTTGTAGATGCAACGCTGCCAGGTCCACTGCCAGAGGTCGCGAGCAAATGTGGGCACGTCCACTGTTTGTGTCAGATGGTTTCATTCTCTAAACCACGATTTTTTTTTGTTTGTTTTTTTGCTTTTAACCGTGATGTAGCGACAGCAGATGCTATTTTAGAAATTAAAGGTCCCGTTTAAGACTCTCTTCTCCATCATCTGAGATGTTAAATTCAGCACTAAGCGAGAGCGAGACTGTAACCTCTAACCCGCCAATTGTTTCCGTTGTATGAGAGGTATACAACGCATATGAGTAGGTGGTATACACTCTGTAAGATCTGCTCGTGGTTATAGGGAAGGCTGTGTGGAGGAGAAAACGTGCCACAAATGTTGTTGGGCAAAAATTGAACTTTCGTCCCTCGGTATGGTTCGTAGATGCTGGTGTATTCAGTATATCTTAGGCGTTGCTTTTTCCGCCTTAAATACTATTGGCTTGGCAATATAAATATTATTGGCGTGACCATTGTGACCGTTGGGTTGAGGCTCTTAGGCACAACCCAGAGGGACACATTGAAAACTTTCCCTCCCCTCTCCCTCCTGCGCAGGTGTAGTTCTATAAAGCTATACAGTAGGAGTTGGAAAAGTAGATTGCTGACACTTGCATTTTTTGATTGAAGGACGCAAATATTTCTGGATTGTACTGGTTACGAAATCATGCGTACACCAAAACAAACAATTTCTAGGGTTTGGATTGAAAGCAAAATATCACGATATCTGCAAAGCTGGGAAGTCCATGCATTTGCCAGAAGACAGCCCCTGTCTGCAATGGGGTAGATAAAAGGTCCAGGTCGATGGCATTGTTATTGCATTTACTATGCTATTACTGCCTCTAACCTAATGCTATCATCTAGACACAGTTTCAGGCGCGGTTTCGGCGATGCCGGACATGTTACCACAGAAGTTGAGCTTCCCTTTATTTATTCCGTCTTGGAATAACGATGTTAAATTAAGTTAAACTGAAGCAAGGAAAATATCACCGGCCTGAGAGCAACGAAAATTGTCGAAGAGACTCATTGGGTGATGCTGTTTTCCCCAGAGTATCTCCACCACTTCCCTTTGTGGTCGTAACGCATAATGTGTAGGAGGGCGATTGCGACACAAGGGCATACATTGAAATTTCTTTTCGGAAAAGTCGTCACTGGCCTAGCTTTGATTCTAACCACAAAGATTTTCATTCAAGCTCTATCAAGCTACGTATGAGGTAGACTGCATTTGTCGAGTTTAATTTGTCCAGGGATGGCTCGGATTAATTTAGCTATCATTCTGAGAAGAACTATTTACAAACTTTAAGGCAAGACACCATAATAACGAGAACTTTCTATTGTTTATTTTTTCAACAAATAGCAATTTTACAAACTGTTGTTGAGGGTTACTATTTTGGGAAAAATTTTCTTCAAACAAAGGTTGCCTTTGTTTTCAGCGGAAATGGTATGTCTGCATCAGCCAGTGATAAACAGAAGCATAAGGTAGTCATGTGCTGTCATGACACAGTACTATACTGATAGAATTCGCTTGATTTCATTAAAATAATTGGAAATGTTATCTGCGCATTTCAAGGACAAATTTCCTGTTGTCTGGTCTGGTAAGGTAGACTGCTTTGCTGTTCAAGTAGAAACGTGTCTGGTGCAATAAAGGAAGTCAAAGATCAGTAAATGACAACACAAAAATGTTTTTATTTGACAATTGTGCAATAAGGTTCCCTTCGCTTCCCATTCAGAGGTCACATTAATTTGCGAAGAAAAATGCCGCTCTTTGTTTGCTACTTATTTTTTTCGAAATAGTACGTACTCCATATGATAGCAGTGCTTATCAACACCTTATTCGCAGACGTATCTGCTTTTTTTTATTCCGCGCATTGTTCCTTCCCCTTCATTGGCCGAAAGCCAATCACATGATCTTCCTATAAATAAACTGATCTGCTCATGCGCTTTAACGTCTTGCTAAAAATACTTTTCTTCATGGGGTAGATATGCTCCGGGAGATATGCCCACTAAGCCACTGTGGAAAAATTCAAAGCTTTCGACGAAGGATTGGCAATTTTACAAAACAATTACCTCGTTATCGGAAAACGTCGCTATTCATTAGTGCTAAACAACTATATCAGTTAGTTGCCTCAGCCTTCGGCTTCCGGCAACATGAAATGATTGGCAATTTCTACAAAACAATTGCCTCGTTATTGCAAAACGTCGCGATTCGTTAGTGCTAAACAAATTTATCAATTAGTTGCCTCAGCCTTCAGCTTCGGGCAACATGAAATGATCTGCTTAACACTGACAAATAATGATATTCTACTCAACCTAATCCAATATTGTTAATTCATTGTTTTGGGGGAATGATACAAAAATCCGCTTGAAAAGCAATATTTTATTTACCAGCTTAGTTTCTTTGTTCATCGATCAGTCTATATATAGTAGTGATACTGAAGGTATCATGTGCTTTTTGCTTCACGACTTGGCACGACTTGGGGTTTTATCCCGGGATTTTGCTTTCAGTTTTTATTTTCGGTTCGATTATTTGCTTTTTTTTTTGGAAGCGAGGCGTTCAAGGGACATTGCCGGGAACCCAATCGTTTCGTTTTCCGACTTATGCAAACTTTCTTTTATTTTTCATGTTTCTTCCGACGAAATATTTCACACGGGAAAAGAAACCAAGTAACTGTTCATCCGTTATCGCGGATCCAACACCTAGCATGCCATTTGGCTTATAACACTGTTTTGGCAAGTAAAGGGACTCCCCCATTGCAATACATAGCTACTGGTTCAATAACCTGTTCGTGGGAAAACTGCTTAGAAATGGGAGCAACAGAGGGAAGGATGGCAAGGGTCTTGTTTTCTTGATTCGTTCGGCTCTTCTTTTTCCCTCTTCGCTGAGGGTAAAATTGTAAAACCAAGTTTAATACTTGTTCATGACTGATGTGCGCGCGCAAGACAAACGAGCAATTAAACTTTATATGTTTTCTTTGAAGATGAAATGCTGCCAAATGTCTATCAAATGTGAAAATGTGCATCATTAGTGTCACCTGATTTCGTTCTGTAAGTCACGATTTTTCTCAGCATGGACTTTAACCGTGTAGCGACAGCAGATGTTATTCTATGAAATTTAAGACTCTCTGCCTTTGATGCTTTTAAAATTCACGTCTTCTCCTGAGACTTATTAATGTCAAATACGCAAATAGTTTCCGGTATAAAAGAATACACGCTGTAAAATCGCTGTTTATGACATAGTGATGGCTGTATCTGGACGAAAAGGTGGCAGAAAGCATGGTTGTGTAAAAACTAACCTTTCTTTCCTCAATATCATGGCTGGCAGATGCTAGTCTATACAATATCATGCATATCATATTTATTTAGTTTTACCGCGTAAATATTGGTCACACAATCTTGAAGAGTTGGGTGAGTTACAGAGTTTGGGACACTGGGACACAAGGAGGCACAATTGAGAACCTCTGCCTTGCTTACACAAGTCTCAATTGTTCCATAGCTATAGCTGCTGTTAGAGGAAAAGATCATTGACACTACCTATATATTCTTTTATTATTGTGGTGAGCGGATTTTTCCGGATTGTAAAGCTTATAAAAATTATCTGACTAAACCTTCAATGACCTTCAATAAGGGTATTGATAACCACGGACAACTCTTCATTACCAAACCTTTGTTGTTTCATCCGATTCTGTGTCTGTTGTGTTCTTAAGCTGCAATAAAACCTGGGGGGCCTACGCTCTGAAACTGAAAGCAAAATATTGCAACATTTACTAAGCTCTAGGCCAGTACCTAAAAAAACGTTTCGTTTCTTAGCCAAAAATTTCAACTCGACTCAACGAGCTGCTAGATTCTTATTGAAACCATACACAGCGCCCATGTTATACCAATTGCAATAAGGCTCATTATTTTGTACACGAATACGCTCAAATCCACTTTGGCGCCAATTTAAGGAGACATGACATCACACAACCGTAAATCTACTATCATACGTAGTTAAGGCCTCTTACGTCTTGATGCAGGCATAACTATGGCAAATATGGATCTTAAACGAGGATAACATGCACGATGAAACTATAACAAGGAAAATAGTCTGACAGACTGTGGAAGATTTCTTTGTTAGACGTAAAGCATAAGACGTAAGCGGGTAATTGGGACGGAAGGTCACGCGATGTGAAAGATAGATGCACAAGGGCTCCTTGAGATAAAAACTCGATTTTGCTGTACAAAATCGCTTTGGACGTTAGAGTCTCTTGATTAAACTTGAGTTCTATTACAGCTAAATCGACCAAGCCTGAGGTGGACAATTTGACGGAGTTCTTCAAGCCGAAGACTCTTAAAAACCGAACAGCAGTTCTAGGAAAGGCTATTTTCACTTCAATTACATCATACGAACACGTCATATTTCCCGGAACAAGATCAGGTTCCTGTCTTCACTTAACAACACAAATAAGCTCATAACAGTTGCTGAAAACCGGAATTGTTGTCGGTTTCTATTTCGGGGAAAACTCCCTGCGCAAACAAAGGAGGGTTTTGTTTTCAATGAACGGGTGATGTCCCAATGACCACTAATAACCCAAACAGAGGCATAAGCTTGTCATGTGCGGCTATCATATGACATTCCATACATATATACCTGTTGAATTCGTTTAACCTCATTTTAATTTAAAAATTTTCGGAAAGGATATCTGCGCATTTGAAGGACGAATTTCCCGCTGGTCCTCTCTAGCTACAAAAGACTTCTAAGCAGTTTCCACTGAGAAAGGCCGTTTGTCTTTGAGGAAGTTCACAAGTGAAGGGGAGAGTTCTTGATATATTTTTGCGTGTTTGAAAGTGCTCCGAGAGAAATGAAGGGCGCCAACGGGCAGATCTTACGGGCTGGCTACTTGTTGAAGCAAAGCCGAGACGTTCTGAAGCAATGGCATCGCCGTTATTTTGTCCTGAGCAAAGAATGCTTGTGCTACTATCACACAGAGGAGGAATCGATGGAAAACGCGCCTAAAGAAGTCATATTCTTCAATGATATGTCGTTGTATATAGACGAGTTACCGGACAAGCAAACTAAGTACTGCCTAAGGATCGTTAAACACTCACTATCACCCAAGATCACAGATCGGACATTTTTATTGTGTTGCTCTTCCCAGGAAGAGAGAAATGACTGGTTGACGCAGATTCTACACGCAAAAGCGCTCGCTTTAGTCGTCGATCCAACAGCTTGGGTGGAAGGCAAGCGTCCGGAGAAATTAACAGAAGACGTGGACTTTGAGTTTCAGTCTAGCTGCGGTCAGACTAGCGTCCGGTTCACCTCCGCGAAAGAGGTTTTACAGAAATGCCGACGGAAACTTTCGATAGGCACGCGGGCTTTTCCAATTAGCCTAGTTCCCGCTCACGTGGACATGAACAGAAGTCCGAAGTCCTTAACCCTGAGTCGGGAATTGAGGAATGTGATAATGGTGTCTTAAAATGACATTAACAGTGGTCTCGTAGAGGTGGCTTCAACAATCCACGTGATGACATAAAAGCACTCAAACATTTGAGGAGAATCTTGAACATCTGAACTTAAAAAGCAAGAATTCAAAGACGAACTTATGAAATAAGCAGTTTATTTGTGGTAGTAGCAGTGTATTTTCACTAACTTTAAAACTCCTTCGTGAGGAAAGCTTATATTTAAATATTCCTGCTCGAGTCTTCTGCTTCTTTAAACAGTTCTCGCATTTAGAAGTAACTCAAACTTTTTATGCTTTAGGGCAGAAGATGCCTTGTAGTTAATAAAGGAGTGCGCTTGTAAATTGGCCAGATTGAAGAGACAAACCTTAGAGAACTGAAAAATACATCCCTGCGAGTTGTATTTAATGCTTATAGCGATGGTGCATAGCCCCCTTAAACTTGTATTTAATGTTTATAGCATTCTGCATAGCCCCCTTAAAATGCTTTATACATCTGGACTTAAATGTACGCATATTTTATGTGTAACTAGACCTTTCCTTGTTATCTATTTGTATAGGTTTATTTTGATATTACATAGTTTTATCTATTTATTTTTTTAATCTTAAATTACAGTATCCAAAATATGCAGGTATGTTTTAAGATTAAATAATGTTATTTAGTCTATTTCATGTTAAGTTATTTCCCACAGTTAGCTTTGTCCAAGATAAATAAATCTGAAACTAATTATAGATGACCCATATTCATTCAATTCTGAGTACTCATCGTAACGTAAATTTGTTCACAGCAGTAATGTTATGAACTANAGTCTTTGACAATCTTATCCGGACATTGTGGTAAGGAAATCCTCTCATGCCTTACTTTGAACTTTAACCTGTTCAAGCTGTAATAATTCGTCCCAGCACCGTGGAAAATAAACCGGAGTAGAACTGTTAGACGTGTGGATCGTACCAATGTTTCTCGCGCCCCGTTCTGCATAGAAAGGCGGCCGCTACATTATTTTCCACAGTTAGCTTTGTCCAAGATAAATAAATCTGAAACTAATTATAGATCACCCATATTCATTCATTTCTGAGTACTCATCGTAACGTAAATTTGTTCACAGCAGTAATGTTATGAACTATTTCTAACAGATAAAGATGGCAGACTTCCACTGCTCCACACTAATTAAATTCGTGAAAAATAACTAAGCCGAAGCAGAGCAGAACCGTACAATAGTCTTTCTAAAACACTCCAGCAGTTTCCTGTTAGCTGTAGCACCCTTCTCTACTTCAAAATACTTCTAAAGACTCCCTGTGAGGGGTACTCCCTGAAATGTTGGGTGGGGGTGTGCGGCCCACTTCCCAACACCCTTACCCTATTCATCACCAAAATCTACGATTTTTGCTAACCCTATTTATGACCGTTTCGGCTGCCACAGTTGCCCTAAACATAAGTTATGAAGGGCTTTTTCTAAGAAACATAGCCAATTCAAAAACAATACCCTATTTAAGACCAAAATGGCCGAAATCGATACCATGACCAAAACTGCTGAAAAACCATACCCTTTGGGACCACACATACCTATAGAGCCCAAACAAGGGAGTACCCCCCTCCCCCCGGGAAAGACTCACACGTTGTTCGTGCCTATTTTATGATACTTGTTTCTTGAATGTCGTTTACTTTCATGTCTGAAAGCAACTGTTTTTATGTTATTATATTTGATATTTGAAAGGTTTTATTTATAACTATTATATTTGTTTAAGTATACTAACTGTAGCCTCCATACATTAATCCAAGAGAATATGTTTCGATTTATGTTATCAGTGGCGGATCTAGGG